CACACACACACACACACACACACACACACACACAAGAATTTCAACAACGAAAGATTTAAGTGAAGAAAAAATGAAGTCAAGGAACAGGACTGCCATCGGAATAAATCTCTGAGGAAACCATCAAATATCTGCCTTGGTGCATTCTGGGAACACGGATGAAAGAGAAGCAAGTGGCTTTGGGAAGCTGTGGCTCCTGACCTGGAAAAAGACAATTGCTCAACACCATCAGCATTTTTATCTTTTCTTCGGCTCATTTGTCCTGCAGATCCTCTATCCTGGACTTGTTCTCTGCTTGGAGAATATATCAATCTTCATTAATCAAACAATTTAATAAAACTCACATGAAGCCAGGCTGCATACCCAAATATCTCTCTTCATCGGCTGTTGAAAAGAATTCAAAGCTTCATAAAGGTGATGGATATAAATGGTAGGTTTAGGAGCACACTTCTAAAACATACTGTGAGTATGTGGTAACTGTAGTACTGAGAGCATAAAAATACACACTCATTCAAGCTTTATAAGATGCTGTTGAAAAACAAGACAAAAACTTCTGTTTGTTGCAAATATTAACTTCCTTCTGTACCTGTGGCATACAGCATTTTTTAACAGCACACTATATTGGAACATAAAACTTGTCAATATGCCTTTAAAAAATATCTGTTACAAAGATCACATATTTAATATACAACAATAATACAAATGTCATGTCTACAAAAAAAAAATAATTCTAAACCATTTGTTTTGAGCTACGCTGTAGGTCTACCGTCTTTCCAAGCCTAAGGCAAGAACTGAATAAGTAAAACCTGCTCATGGGTCAGAAGGAAAACATCATCTCAAATCAGCTCAGATTCTCACTTTTCACCTACATATCTGGAAATTCAGACACAGACAAGAAAACTAAAGTGGTTTGATATACCGGTGGTAGATTAGGAAACACAGTTGTGACTTCCATCTATAAATTATGTAAGAAAAAGTCTTTTGTATTATTTCTGAGACTATAACAATACCCTAAATCCATTGTCTATACAAGAAAGTGTTACTCATGATCTGGATTTTGTCCTTGGTCATCAATTTATGGAGGATTTGTGGCTATGGGGCTCCTAGTGTAAGATTAAAGAGAGAATACGAAACAAAGTGAAGCCCTTGTTATAATCCCTGCCTAAACATATAATAAGAAAATAAATACTTAATTGAATTAGACTGACTTAACATAAAAATTCCCACATCAAAATGTGTGTTAATTCTATATCCTACTTTATTATACTACTATCTGATCTCGGTTCTTTAGCCTATTGGTCCCAGAGCATAGAACAATCTCAGAGCTGTAAAACTCTATGGATATTTTCTCTCCCTGACCCATAAACCTCATCAGTTCATGCTATTAAGTAATAGTCACATTAGCTAGCATGCAAGAGATCTAAAACCCAGCAAAATTTGGACATAAAAATGTCAGCTTCCAGAATAAAAAACAGAGTTATATTTATCCAGAGACACACTTACAGAACCCTTAAGGAAAAGAAGCGAAGGCGTATAATAGCTAGCAATTGCTGGTACTTAGAAATATCAATCAATAAGATGGAACACAGTACATTGTTTCCCCTCCAAACACACAAACCTTCCATGACAAGAGCAGTGGGGGCATGTAGCTTTATGGAATGTTTAGGAAAAAAAACAAAGTGTTGTTTCTCTGCATTCTTCATTTATTAGTTCTTCATTCCTTGGGCACTTTACTACAAGCCTCCAAGGCCAGTTTTAAAACACATTATCAGGACCCAAATACATGAAACATTGCTGGAGACCAGACCTGCAAAGGCTCCCGCTGCGTCTACTGCAGTGTGAGCTGGCTGCTGTGGCACGACCTCGGGACACTGTGTGCTGTGCAGATGGCTGAGGGACATGGGTGTGAGGACAGTCCTAGTTCAGAGGCAGCAGCAAGGAGGTGTTTTTCAAGGAAGTGGGGGAAACGGAGATATTAGGTTCCATATTTGAGGGTGAGCAGCACATCAGAGGCCAGATCACGGACATTTGAGATTGAAGGAAGGAAAGGAAGAAAAAGAGAGCGTTTATGAAGATAATTAGAGGGAGAGAGACAGAAGAGGTTGCTTTCCTGAATACCTGTGATGTGCCCAAAGTCCTGATTAACTGCTTACCCGGGATGAAATTGAGGAGCAAACTTTCAACTACTTCACAGTTCTGTGACTCACAGACACATCAAGTCAAAAGCATAGAGAGACAGGCACATGTTTAAAATTAGGAGTCAGTGCCAAACAAAGTAGGTGACAGGTAGAAACTGAAGCAGAGATGATGTGGACCTCAAGGAGAACACATTCTGCCTAAAAGCTTTGTTGAACATCTATAAAACCCAGGCCACAACTTAGCATACAAACTATGGAAGATAGAAGAAAGGATCCTCAATTTAATCCATTTCCTACTTACAGAAATTGAGAAGGGTTCAGGGACCGACCGGGCTCTGGCCAGGGAAAGGCAGGGGATAGAATACAGGTCCCCTCATACATGACAACACTTATTTTGGCCCAAGGACTTTTTATTGAGTTCGAGAGTTTCAATTCTTTCTATAGCTCTTCGTGTACCAACATAGGAGAGATTCACTTACTGGATTGTTGAATTAGTTTGCAGTGACTGGTGTGTTTAAGGTTATACGGGGCTTGTTCTCGTCTCTTCTGACACAGTTCTTTTTCATTCTCATCCAATTCGGAATTGCTGCTGCTGCTGCTGCTGTCATAGCTGCTCTCGCTGCTGTTGTAATACTTCTGCTTCTTCATTACCTCCACATACTCAGGCATGCAGCACAGGGGCTGAAACAGAGTGACAGACCCTTTGGTTAGAGTCCCCCCATGCCTGCTGCTTACTGGTGACTACAGAAGTCCCTCTCTACTGCTTGGTACTTTTTAGCCAGTAGAGCACACACTAGCTGGGAGGCTGCCTTGAATCCTCCTCCTCCAATCATATAGCTAAGTCTTGATGAGGACAATGCTTTCTCTCTATGACTGCAATAAAAAAAAATAGTTTCTGTAAACAAAGAACAACAAAGTGAGGGCAAATATTTGACCTAATAAATATAAATATAAACATAACCAGCTTTTATTCATTCTACCCAGAGAGATTAGGCATCAAGAATCACCCAATAAAAAGTGAGTGGAGGTGGTGATAGAGGAGGAGAGGCAGGAAGGACAAAGAGACTAGGAAAGCAAAAACAAGAGAATCCATTAGAAGTAAGATCATGCACTCAAGCCATGTGGTGGTGATGCACACCTTTAATCCCAGCACTCAGGAGGCAGAGGCAGGCGGATCTCTGTGAGTTAGAGGACAACCTGGTCTACAAGGACAGTTCCAGGACAGTCAGGATGGTTATGCAGAGAAATTCTGTCTCAAAAAACAAAAACAAAAACAAAACAAAAATAAATAAATAAATGAAAAGGTAGTTATGGGATCATGCACTCAAACAGAGGTCAAGAATCTATGCACTCAGATAATGTTCAGGAAGTAAGGCATTGCTCACATGACTAGTTCACAGTTGTTATTTATTCATTCATTTATTTATTTTACTTGGAATTGAACCCAAGGCCAGTCTCATCAAAATCTTTAATATATTTGGAAAAATAAACATTTTACTAAATTTGTTGTGGATGACTTGTGATCCATGGAGGATCTCTAACTTTGACACAGTCTGGCCACAGTGGACTCACACTGCTTTTCATCATCAATGTAATATCCTACAACATGATATGAAAATCAGTATGGTCTGAAACTTTTTGGAAAAAGAGTGACTCTGTACAGGTCTGATTATCATGTTATTATGCCCTACAGTTTCTAATAGAATCAACCTACTTCCACTCCTCATGATAGATAAAGACACCAGGTGAAGGGACGGGGAGACAGATGAGATGGCCTCACTTCAGAAAGAATGTGCAAAGCGAACAGCAAGACAGTTCTGTGACTCAGTTATTTCAAGTGCTTGTTACACGCACCATACACCTCCTGTTCCTGCTGAGACAGGCTGCTGCAGTTGTATACTAGTGGCTTTGATGTTATCGTATATCATAATGAATTCCTTGGATGCCATGGGAGTTTATGGAAAGAAACTATGTCCCTCCAGTGTGACAGTGTAGGACGAGAGAAAGGAGAAACATTCCAAGAAGCGTATGGAATACAAAGCAAGCCAAAGCATGATGATGGTAAAGTTACAACTTGTGGGGGAAAAAAAAAACTGAAATACAGCTGAAGTGGGAAAGGAACTGAATACACTAGGTACCAACTTGTCTTTAAACATATGCTCTCCTTTTGATGGTCTAATATTTACAGAGTACTAAAAATGTTCAAACAGAAATGCATAAAAACATTTGCCAGTAACACGGTCATCAAACACACTGACAACCTTGGCAAACATGAACTCTAGAGAAAAGATGTCTCTTCAGAAGTTTAGCATACCCCGAAGGAACAGTGGCATGAACAGGCTTGCTGCACACAGACTTAAGCTTTCCCAAAGACACTGACTACATGATTGTTTAACCCTATAAAGAAATCACAGCGGAAGTGGACAGCTGAACCTTTGTGTCCCACACACATTTAGGACTTTTTGACCAACATACTGTTCAAGCCATAAGTAAATAGGAGTCACAGCAATATAAACCCCCTGTAGCATTCTATGAGATGGGATTTTAAAAGTGCCATGATATATCATGACACAAATCATGCTACTTAATTTTATTTATAGTTTTACTATGAAACAGGGCAGATATAAAAATACATAAATATGGTGATATTTTATTTGTACTGAAATGTTATTTTAATTTTATGTTAATAAATAAAGTTGCCCTGGGGTCAGAGCTATTAGAGCCATAGCAAGAGCGTGGTGGTTAGAAGAGCTAGGTAGATTTCTGTGTGTTCAGGGATACAGCCAGTATTGGAGACATACGCCTTTAAGACCTGGAGGGCGGTACTTACAGGCAGTGATGAGGCAGTCATGTGGTTGGGTTTACAACCAATGAGAAGGCAGAACAGAAAGACTATTTAAACACAGACAAACAAGAAGTAGCTCTCTCTCGGGGAAGCTAGGAGCACTGCAGGAGGTAAGATTTTATCTCTGAGCTCTGACCTCTCGGCTTTCTCTTTTACATTGGCTCTGTGTTTCTTATTTTAATAAGACGATTGGTTACATCTACACATAAATGTATAGCTAAAACAAACACGTGTTCCAGCTTAAGAACCTTTCTAATGCTTTATGTAGCACGTATTTTGTGGCTAATTAACATTCCTTAAATTTTCAAATAAGTGAGATGCTACTATTCATCCTAGTATAAAGTTGATTTAACAAAGGATCTTTCAAATTATTCTTTAACTAATGAAGACCTTGGTGACAGATGTTCCCCATGAAGCACTGTCCTTCTGAAGTTGAAGTTTTCTTTAGAAGTTTGGGTCACTTTAAACACCTTGATAAAACTTAAATAAAAACTATAGATACACTTCTACATCAATTATGCTGTTCTCATCTACTTAGAAATGCTGCTGACTTTAACAATTAATTAGGGAATTATCCAATCCACTTCATTTCAGAAAATACACTGTTAACATCTTCTGTTTAACTCTGATAACAGAAGTTGGAAAATACACAACTTGAGTTCTTCCCTGGGACCCATCACACTTTCTGGGTGGCAAGTCTATGTAAGTAAAATGAAGGAAAATATAGAATGCCTCAGGGCCTTTGCACATGCCTTTCCACCATGGAGTTGTGTCCCCAGGTAGTCTCAAGTTGGTTTTGGCAAACTGTAATGATTGTTATGCAAAGCTTAGGAACTCCAGTGGTACAGCTTGTTGGTGCATGGTATTTATAAAGTATTCAGAGCTTAAAAACTCCACAAATGTTTCCTCAAATGGAGCCATGATTCATAACGGCACTCACATTTCCAGATAATCTAAATATATTTGTTTCACAGGAATTTTCAGCTTTCAGAGTAATGTCTGACATCCTAGGTCTCCACACATGTACCCCTTGCCAGGCTCACCTTACATTGTTTTCATTTGCTCTTCTTAAAGCCACAAACTTTCACACTTCCACCACACATGACACAGTATCACAACTACAAGGCTTTGCCTTGAGTGTCCTTCTTAACCCAAATAGGCAGGGCTCATTTTGTAAATCCAGTTCAAATGGAAATGACTCCAGAAAGCTGTCTTTTATCAACCCTTTTAATTTACAATCTATTTCAATACTCACCACACACACTTTGCTTTGACAAATATCTATCTACTCTCCAACTAGCTAATGAGAACCTTTTGAACACATTCAACAATTTTGACCAATAGAATTTGGGAACATGTGATGTGTTAGACACTCTCAGGTGCTAAAGATAAGATGAAAATCCACTTCCCACGTTCAAGGTACTCACAATCTCACACAAATAATGACTGATCACAAATGCTCTGAAATAGCATTACTTATGGGAAGGAGGTGGAGGAGAGGCTATGAAAATTAAGTCAACTTGGTAGTGCCAGAGCAAGTTCACACAGAGTAGCCATGGTATAGCCTGGTTAGGAGGCAGTCCCAATCAATCTAGCAACACATCAATGAGGGCTCTTTTCTTATTTGTTTTAGTAAATGGGTATTAAAGCATAAGAGCCTAACAAATATAAGTGTCTATAAATGTAGAGACAGCTGGCCAATGATGAAATATAAATATAAAGGGACACACTGTGATGATATTGTGTTCCCCAAAATATTGTGCACCCTAATAAAGTTATCTGGGGTTAGAGAACAGAACAGCTACTAGATACAGAGCCGAAACTGACCTACTCTGGTGATGGGATGGCCAAAAACCCTAATAGTTGTGCCAGAAACCCCATCCAATGACTGAGGGATCTGGATGCAGAGATCCACGGCCCCGGGTGGAGCTCTGGGAGTCTAATTAGTGAGAAAGAGGAGGGTTTATATGAGCGAGAATTGTTAAAACCAAGGTTGGATAAAGCACAGGGACAAATAGCCAAACGAATGGAAACACGTGAACTATGAACCAAAGGCTGAGGGGCCCCCAACTGGATCAGGCCCTTGAATAGGTGAGACAGTTGACTGGCTTGATCTGTTTGGGAGGCATCTAGGCAGTGGTACCAGGTCCTGTGCTCATTGCATGAGTTGGCTGTCAGAAACCTGGGGCTTGTGCAGGGATGCTTGGCTCGGTCTGGGAGGAGGGGACTGGACCTGCCTGGACTGAGTCTACCAGGTTGATCTAGGTCCTCGGGGGAGGCTTTGCCCTGGAGGAGGTGGGAATGGGGGGTGGGTGGGGGGAAGGGGGGGCGGGAGGGGGGAGAATGAGGGAATCCATGGCTGATATGTAGAACTGAATGGTATTGTAAAATAAAATAAAAGGGAAAAAAAAGAATTCAAAAAAGAAAGAAAGGAAGGAAGGAAGGAAGGAAGGAAGGAAGGAAGGAAGGAAGGAAGGAAGGAAGGAAGAAAATGGTGGCACTCACACCTTTAATCCTAGCCTTCTGGAGGCATGGATCTCTGTGAGTTCAAGGCCACACTGGAAATAGCTAGGCATGGTGACTCACGCCTTTAATCCCAGGAAGTGGTGTCAGAAAGCAGAAAGGTATCTAAGGTGTGAAGACCAGAAACTAGAAGCTTTTGGCCAGGTTAAGCTTTTAGGCTTTCGAGAAGCAGTTCAGCTGAGATCCATTTGGATGAGGGCTCAAAGGCTTCCAGCCTGAGGAAACAGGATCAGCTGAAGAACTGACGAGGTGAGGTAGTTGTGGCTTGTTCTGCTTCTCTGATCTTTCAGCGTTGACCCCAGTACCTGGCTCTACATTTGTTTTTATTAATAAGAACTTTTAAGATTCCTGTTACAACGCACTGACAAGTGTGTCTACGATTTCTCAAATTCAACTTCTTGCTTCCCTGCTACTGAGAAATTTGTCATATATTAAACTGCAGAAACAACACCACCACAAAACAGATGTTAAGTAAAGCAAACATCTGCCTCTCTTTGCCTACACAACAGCTTTTCCCATTCCTAAGTGCTGGATCTATGGACACACTGTGAATGTCACTGTGGCAGCAAAAGAAGAGCTCCCCAAGCTGGTATCAGAGGTTCCTGACACCAATGCTTATTTACACAGCATTCCCAATGGCTATGCTATGGAGCTGGCCTAAATGTCAACAGCAGAGGACGGACAAGGAAAATAGGGTTCACTTCCACAATGAAGCTTTTCAGCCATTAAGAAGCCAAATTCATGTCATTTATAGATAAACAGATGCAACTGGAGATAGCCATATGAAGGGAATTAAGACAATCACAGATAAATATATATTTTCTATATATATTATAAATATATAATTTCTCAATTGTGGCTCCTGGATTTTATATAGATACATAAAACCATGTACACATATTTAATATGAGTGAAAATAAAAGGGTTTAGGAAGACAAGGGAAACTAATGGAATGAGAGAGGGCTAGAAAAGGGAGAGCAGAAGAATCACACTAAACCTACAATGTGGACATGCACTGTACGGAAAATAGGTAAACAGACAGAAGGGCTTCCTATTAATGTGTCTGTAGAGTAACAATTTGCCTTATCTATAATCCTATACACTTCTTTGTTAAGTATTTATCTGAGGCTATAACAAAAGCCTGATGTTGCACTTAAGCAAGGGAAGTCCCCTGAACTCCGGCCTGAGTCACTAGGCATTCATTAGCACTTGGCAGCGAACCACAAGTCTGAAGGAAGCCAATGAAACAAAGCTTGTGAATGTGAGATAGCGCCATCTGCCTGGTTTTACCTTCACTGGACACAAAATTCCTGAAGCTCCTGTGCATCATAACGCTTACAGGAAATACCTAAGAGGAATCACTTGCACCTAGTGACATGGACTTTGGCACTATGGAAGGTAGGGACATTTCACCTTTGGTCCTCGAATTCTGGTAGTTTTTCCCATCAATTTTTCATCATCGATTTCACATTGTTCCAGGAGATCCAAAATATCTTCCTCCTTCAAAAACATCATTAAAATTATCATCACTCAACAAATATAGACTTTTTACAAGTTCATTAATTTCTGTAAGTGCTTACACCGTGATTATTCTAGAAACTATGCAGTGGTAATTACTCGGACAAGAGAAGAAGGAAACATAAAAGGCAAACTCTTCAAGAAACTTACCAAAATCTTGTGATAAACCTAACACACAGCTGGGTCTATTTGTGCAGTCATCATAAGCAAGCATGTTCTTTCCACCAGGCTACTGAAATCTCAGAATACCCCACTTTACTAAATTAGCCCACTGAACCCTAAGATATGTAAAAGTCCATGCTTGTCTCCCAGACTTCATCCCATTAATCATTCCTATACTGATTAGTACAATTTAATATTAAAACTGGACACAGAAAATGAAAACTGGCCTGAGAGTTTCACTTAGAAAGAATTTAATGTTAGAATTTGGTTAATGGGAACCATCTGATAAAGCTGCTTAGAAATATTAGTTATTGCAAGAATATTTACAGCCTTATAAAATATTTTCATTCTACGACTATTACTGGTAGAACAAATCTGTAAGTACCCCCAATAGCTTTCTATTATGCTCCTCTAAATTTATTTGAAGTCATATGTAAAAAATATGAGACTATACACCATCGTTGGAAGTTGAGCTAACCAGAACAGCTGTAGTGAGGGGTATAATCAACCATCTCATTGTGTGATTCAGGCCCAAACACTGACAAAACTATGTTCACATGGTTGTGATTTATACTTCAAAATCTCCTTGAAGTTTACTCGAGAAACTAGGACTCCCAGCTCCCAGTAAAAAGGTATCCCAGTCTAGGAAGCATGGTTCTTAAAGGGTCAAAAGACTCTGGCTATGATCCTACAATGGAGTACATGGACAGCATCATTACAAACTCAAAAATAATCTCAAGGAGGTTTGATTTGTTCAGAAGAAAGGTCATAACAGACAATATTTTCATCCTAAAAACTCCAAGTGGACTAAACAGCCACATATTTTAAAAGGGAAAGCTATAGATGAACAAAGTGTAAAGAAATTCAATTTCCAGAGGGCTAGGTTCTTCCCTAGAGTGGAGAGGATTGGTCACTTTCCACGTTGGGGTCATCTGTCAAATCTGAGCAGAGGTGGGTAGAGGTGAGGCTGTCATAGATAAGTTCTGCTGGGTAAAGTCTGTCACCTTGGGACATTATCAGGGTGATATATTAAGAGAGCCCGCATAGAAACCTTCAGCCAGCTCCCAAGTGTGCCACCATCTTACGTAATTGCCCAGACATGTGAGTGAGGCCACCTAGGCATGCTAGTCCCAGCTAAATGCAAGCATGTCTGCCCCCACACAATTCACTCCAAAGTAAGATCAGACCAGGGAATCACTCAGCTGTTACCAGTCAGGACCACACAATAAGAAGTAAATAAATGTAGAGGTTTGTTATGCTACAACAGATAACTGGTAGACCTTGTACTAGGCTAAAGGGAGAGAGAAGGGGAGAAGGGATGAGGGAGGAGAAGAGAGTGGGGAAAATGGACGGGAAAAGAAAGGGACATAAGAGAGGTGGGAAGGGAAGATGGGTAAACGGTACAGAAGAATAGAGATGAGGGAAAATGAAAGAGAAGAATTTTGAGACAGGGCCTTGCTCTGTAGCCCAGGCTGCTCTTAAACTCAATATATCATCCAAGCAATCCTTCTGCCTCAGTTTCCCAGTTACTAGGACTGCATGCCTGTGCTACAGCACTCACCTGGGAGAGGGAATTTTAATTACTTGCTCTCATTTGCCAAGTCTATGTAGCATTAAGAAAAACTACTGCAGTGTTGGCTATAATTCAAACAAGAATGTCGCAAGCCATTGGGTTACCTCAATGGATTTCTTTATCCAAGTCTTATACACAAATCTGTATTAGAAGACATTTTATTATAATATAATGAAATTACAACCAATATCAGAGTTATTTGCTCAAAGTTTGTCCTGTTATACATCTTGTTTATGAAGTTGCTTGGTTTGCTCTGAAATGTGACCACTTCTTAAGAAAAAAAGCATCAAGAACATCTTAAAGGAAAGCTGTTTCTATATGTAAGGCTAAGGTGGCACCCACCCCATGTGTTTGTGTTTGTGTGTGTATAGCTATGCGCATGTGTGTATGAGTGTGTGTGTGTATGTATGAGTGCATGTGTGTGTGTAGTGGGTAGCCGTTCCAGCTTTGACCTGGAAATACCACCCCCTTTGAGGCTTCAGTAATGGTCACACCTACAAGGTGGAACTGAGAGAGGACCCTTGAAGACCTGAGATCCAGATGGGGGAGCGCTCTTGGTTCCTGGGCTCTGGACGCTGGAGGTAGACCGAGCAGAGTTCTCCACAGAACACTGCCAGATGGAGCTACATCTTTCCCAGACCCTGTAACCTATCCCTTTACTTGTAAGTTACCCCACAAAATAAACCTCCCTTTTAACTACGTGGATTTGCCTTAATAATTTCACCAATATGTGTGTGTATGTTTGTGTGTGTTTATGTGTATGCCTGCATGTGCATGTGTGTCTATGTGCATGTGTGTATGGACTGTGTGTGCATATGAGTTCATGTGTGTGCATGTGAATATGTTTGTGGGTGTGCATGTGTATGTGTACATGTGTGTACATGTGTGT